GCTGGTACACATCACGTAATTAGGAACAGCACGTGGGACGGCTTATCCCAGTGAGTGCATAGGAAGGGCGAAGAATATACTTATGTTGTGGTATTTCAGGGCAAAGCCAGATGTATCCAGGCAAGTTACCAGAAATGCACTAAGTTTTTCAGAAAAGGAGATGTGAGCTTCCCATGAAGCTCTGCTTTGAAGAGGAGGTTGGTCTAGATGACCTCCAGAGGTCCCTTCCACTGAAATCTTTCGATGATGGTAATTGAGCTGCAGCCAGCCAGTGCCGCTTAAATATCCCTTCACACCAGCGAATCAATCAGGATGGCATCCAGAGAGCAGGGCTGAACTCTCACAGCAGCAAGTCTCTCCCCTTTATCTATCACCGGACAACATGCACAAAAGGGCAAGATTAGAAGTATTTTTACATGCTCCAAACAAGGTCTGTATTGTTCCTTATCTTTGTGTGGATCTATATAATGTCATTTTCAATAACGCCTGTAGGTCCAAATCAAATCCTAAACCAAAGGGAAAATATATTTTGCCTCACCTGATTAGACCCTCTACAGTTCACCCCTCCAGCTAATCCTGTTGCATTGCTTCTTGCTCTCTCTTTTCATCACAGACATAAACTGTATTAGATAAGTGTACCAAGAGCAGGTGTTTACAATTCTGCCCAAACTTAGAGAATGATGGAAAACCATTTCAGTTAAGAACGAGGTGATCACCTCCGTATTCACGTGGACCACAGATCATTTTCTTCTCCCAGCAAACTCAGGACCAGGATTCAGAGCAGGCTAATTGACTTACAGTCAGTCCATCCAGGTACTTCTGGTGCTCTAATTATGCTTTTCACTTACTCCGTGTCAGAATAAAAATGCCTTGATGTGTGGCACTGAGGAAAGGCAGACACAACCTCACTCATTCAGCTAATTTTCCCAAGAAAAAGAAAATAGAAATACTTTTGTGCTGCAGCTTAGCAACACAGCAAAGGTTGTGCCATCAAGGCCAGCAGCTTCTTGGTCTGAGAGCAGAGGTTTTATCCATCCCATTCATTCTTCTGATTAAAAAACAGTGTCACTTCCTCCAGGTGGGCCAAACAAGCTTGCTTTTCTTTTCCTGTTCCTTGTTTTCATTCAGCTACCAGCCTAGAGATCTCTCCATCCTAAGTGCAGGCAAGCAGACCCAGTTAACCCATTGCTCTGATTCCCCAGGTACCTTCCTGGACTCATGGGTGTAAAACTGAGGGCAGACAGTTGAAACGCCAACATTACATATCTGTACTCTTGCATAAACCCAGGTGTTTTCTTGGAGTTAATTCCCTTGCTTTTTGTCCCTCCTCAAATCAGCAATTTCCACAAAATATTATCAATGCAAGAATTTCAAGCACAAAGGAGAATTTTGGGATAATGTGAAACAAATGCAATATTAACATAAAGAGCACAAAATAAACTCTGAGTACCAGATTTGTTTCCAGATTTCTGTCCCCAGACCCCTACGCTTCTCTGCTTAGCTTGATCCCAAAGCACCTATAGGTACCACACAGATGTGCTGTGGAATAAGCACGTCATTAGCTTTAAAGGCATCTTTTCTTTCTATTTCTTCCCTCTTTCCATTTGATCTTCATTCTGTCCATTCCCTTTTTTTCCTGCTTCCTGCAGCTGATCACAGGGGCTAGACTAAGCAGAGAGAGAAAAATCCAGTGAAAGAAATAGGGTCAGGAGCAGCCTGAAATCAGGAACTAATGAGGAAGAAATGGGAGGAACTTGAATACATGGGCAGTCATGTACCAAGGAGCCTCAAGCTGGGCCAGGGCTGTAGACATTGATCCAAAGTAGAATTGCTGCCACTGCACTGCTGGGAGTAACGGGGGGGCAAACGCTCAGGATATCTTAAAAGTAAAATGTCATAGCAGTGGAGGATTAAAAATAGGTTGAAGCCCAATTTGTCTTCATAAGTTCTCAGGTCACCAGGCACTTGAGAAAAAGACTATTAAGACACTGTAAAGCTGGAAAGATGGGAGAAGCATGGTTTCGTAAGTTCAGGAGAGTATTTAAGAGACTTGACTTCAAGGTGTCAAGCAGCAAGTTCAGCTGCCAAGAGCTGAGCACAGCCCCTGCAGATGGGATGCGATGCTGCTGACCAGCTCCCAGGCACAGGCTGTGGCGCACGTGGACACAATGTGGATCGGGGTTAGAGGTGGGGAAACATAATCCAGGCACAAATAGTACCAAGGGCTGACCCAACGTTGTTGATCTCTGTGTGGGTTGGGATCGGGCTCAAAACGAACCCCGGGAATCACTGGCAACACCAGGAGTGAAGGCTCTGCTGTGAACCAAGTCCTGCAGAGCTCTTCACTTGGGCTTCAGCGCTGCTTTAACCTGTATCGTAGCTGCAGGGTTCAGCTACACAGCCCTGGGACTCAGGCTTAGCATCAGTCTGTAGCTACTTATTGCTTTGCTTGGTAGTAAGTCACAAATCTTTTCCAAAATCCATTTTCTTACAATAGCTCTTGCTCTAACACTAATCACACTGGGGCTGGCTACAAACTATGTCCTTCTAAAAAAAAAAAAAAAAAAAAAAAAGAAAGAAAAGAAGAGAGAAAAAAAATAGTGAAGCTATTGATTTACAAAATTTGCATTTCCCAATGAGCGCCCCGAAGGTGGCTCACCACAGTCCGACAGCACAAGAGCGGGCACGGGGAGGTTTTAAATCAAGGCAAAAAGGCAGAACATAATGCTTCCAATTTACTTTTTTAAAATGAAATGTGCAAGCTGAAAAGCCATGAATAAGCACTACCGAACACTGCATCCACTGAAAAGAGATTTTTTAAGCCATTCTCCCCCCCCACAACCTCCTTTATCTTGTCAAGAGACAAGACAAAGAGACTGTGTTTTCATTGTGTTTGTATGGTAATTTAAATCATGGTAGGGCTCAGAGCATACAGTGTAATTGTAAGTCAGCAAGGGTGTGAATGCCATCACTGCCTTGCAAATAACATCATCAGCTCATCAGCTGTGTCAGTAACACTGCAATTATGTAAGCAACTATTATTTCCACCCCTGATATGCCATATTAGAACTTATTTTGGGGGCTGGAGCTGACAGGGATTCTATGAATATGAAAAGCACACAACAGCAGCCAAGCCAGGGTTCAAGGTAGGAACATCACTCCACCGGGGCTTTCTGGTGGTATCACCAGCAGTGCAGGCACTGTGGGATGGTCCTAAAGGAGCTGCTGTAAAAACTGTGGCTTTTCTGGTGCCCCTTTTGCCCTCACCCCACAACCCACCCATCACCTGGGACCTTTTCCCTTCCTCTTACCACCCTTTGTGCTCATCCAAACACAACATAGACAAGATTACTTTTAACCACAGAAGAAAGTTACGTAGACATTTTAATTTGGGAGGTTTGGTGGTTGGTTTTAATATGACTAAGCCCCTGGACTGAAGCTCAGCACTAAGTGATTAGTTTTTCTGAGACTTCCTGTGTGCTGTTGGCCAGATCAATGATTTCCTAAGCTTTTATTTCAGCTTCTTTAAAATGAGCCTAGCGTAATGACTCCTTTCTCTAATCCTTTGCAAGTTTATATGGTGAGCACGTCACAGCAGAGCCAGCCCACGAGGCTGTCTTCAGAGAGCCCCAGCCTTCCCGCGCTCCTGTTACAACGGACCTCTTAGGCACAGAGGAGCAAAAGCCCATGGGCAAATGCCCATCGAGGTTCACCAGCATGGTAGAAAACTCTTTTCCATGGCATCATGCACAGCGCTACATGAAGTCCATCAGCCGAAAATGTCACCCCTACAAGCTTCGTGGGGAGGAGGCGGCAGAGCTCCTCTCCCCAATGTGTTTCTGTGCCCTCAACACCCCAGGGAGACAGATGTCATTGTCCATAAACTTTTCTGCCTTCTTCCTTTTCTTTCGCCCACACATGCAAACCCCTCACCAACACAAACTATGGCCAGAGCAGACAGGACAGCTTCAACTTCAGGGCTGAAGAGCAGTTTAGTAACAGCTCAATATATGAATAAATACAATAGGAAGCCACGCTCAGATTAATTCACAGTTCCGCGTTGTGCCTAAAGAAGCAACGCTCCACTGAATGCATGTCAAGATGATAGATTAAAAAAAAAAAAAAAAAAAAAAAAAAAATCAGCTTAAAATGCAATTGGAAGATTGATTCTTTAGATCCTCACATTATATAGGGTCTAGGTCTTGAGAATCATCTCCCTTCACACTGAGTTATACTCATCTTCACCTCACAGAACTGCTGCATATCGCAAAAGCTGACAAAGGTTATGAATAAAGGTAAGGTATGTGGAGAGATAGCCATAAAATTATGAATGCCTGGTATTTACAGAATACCTGTACGTAGTACTATTAATCTATATTTTTGGTTATTTTGAAATCACCCCTGCAAGGAAGATGTGACTATCTGAACGTACTCTTTATTAGAATAATTACATTTTTATTTTTGGGGGGACACTAAAGTCGTCTATTCTTTTACTGTACTCACTAGTGTATTATATTCATAGGAAAACATATTTATTCAGAATTTCATTTTGACTTAATAGAAAAATGGTTCTTGCCACAGCAATGTGGAATACTCATTTTTCTCCATGTGTTGATTTTTGGCATATAAATGCCAGAAGCCTCTGTTCTCTTTCCTTATCAAGAAAAACTTGCCTGAGATTAATTTCCTCATCATCCCTTCCTTTTAAAGTGGCTGTTTTTCAATGCCATTTAAAGACAGAGTTGTGATAAATTCCTGTTTTCAATGTACAGATTTCAATGAAAGACTCTATTCCACAGCAGTAAAGTAATTGAATCCAAATAGAAAGGGACAAAAAAAAAAAAATTTATGAAATCAGGTACCGCTACTACAGCCAATTGCCTTCATGTATTTTTCTTTCCAATGACAATTAGTTTTGAAATAAACTAATTGCAAAAGTTTTTAAAGTGTTTATAGAGGGAAAGGGACATGCTTCTGACACTGCTTCTTTATAATTGCAGATTGGACTAATTGAAGACTACTTATACGAAGTAGAAGACAATTACTTAAAGAACAAAAGGCTGAGAACATCTAGGATGGAAATAATGAAGAGTACTCAAAGTACACAGCAATATTGGAGACTAGGAAATCCAAAACCGTCCCTCACCAACCCTAAAAACATGTTTGCCATACAGCAATAGATAGGTCAACAAAAGCCACCTTTCCACTTAATGAGCCTTCCCCTCACTATGGGATAACTTTAGCAAGACACTTCTGTACTTCATTAGTTTTAACTGGCTGAAAAAAAAAAAAAAAAAAAAAAATCTACGAAAGGCTTATTTTAAATTGTCTTGTTGATTTAAATAGTAACACTCAGCCAAAACGGGGCCTGTATTTTCTGCTCCGAGAATATTCTGCATCCAAACTCTATAAAATCCTGCTGGCTTGATTATCACCCAAGCAGCACTGATATCAGAAATCCCCCCATCCTCAGCTAAGAAAAATTCAGCCTCTTATTGCCTCCTTTCCAAGTTAGTGCCTTACACTACAGATACTGGTACAATCTATAGATGAAAAATAGCATCCTGCTAGAAACACAACGCTACAAAAAGAGAAAGAAAAAAATAAAGAAGCCCAGCTGTTGCCCCATGGCTAAGAATGTGAAGTCCTTCACTCTCATCTGTGCCCTAAGGGTGATTTTTTTCCCCTCATTATATGGTTATTGGTTTGGGGTTTTTTTAATGCACAAACACTCTAGGAAAGAAAATAACAGCACCTGCCTTCTCCAGTGCAAATCTCTTGGTTAAGGATCAGTGACACATCTTGTGCTCCCACGGCAGCACTTTGTCGCGTAGGCACATCTTACATGGCTTTGGTCTTTATGGCAGCACAGGCTCCCGATTCCCCCGACACCTGTCATCAGGGAGTGAAGCAACGCACCTACTTTTCAATAGAGATCACCTTATCAGATGATGTCTGACAGGCAACCCCAGCTGACGTGTGTAGTCTCTTCTAAGGCTGGCATCTCCTTTTTGTTCACTGTGTTTACTTTGTCAGAAAATAACCTCACCCTATGAAAACAGCATTCAGTTCATTATATTTTCTCACTCAAGGGTGACTTTAAAACAAAAAGATAGAAAGGAAAAATCCACCCCCCAGCCCTAAGATTTAATTAAAAAGTCCAGGACCTCAAAGTTATTTAGCCACTTAATTCTCATCATCTATTTATCACACATAGGAGTCTAAATCCAACAGATTTTTAGCTGTTAGAAACCATCTTCCTAGGCTCTCATAAAAGATTTTTGAAAACTAAGAAAGAACTAGCAAAATAGCTTTGATCGCCCTTTGTTCATTGTTAACAGAGAAAGTATAAAGAAATCTTTTTGAGAAAATCTGAGCTAGCCTGAGCTCCTTAAACATGTGGGACAGAGAAACGAAGAATTATTGCCCTTTGGAGACGGCATTATTTTGCTATGGAGTTGGTTTTGTCAGATGAAGTTTTATGACACATAGTGGCAATCATCCATCTTTGATGAGCAGACACACACTAAATCAGAAAGACTGCTCCCCACGGATCATCAAGTCACAGTCAACACACAGTTTGGTAAATCATGAAGCTCTTCAGCAAATACTCTTAATTTGATGCAAGCTGGTTTACAATTCTGCAATATTTAATGCAAAATGAGGTATTTCTACCTAGAATGATGAAAAATAATCAAGTGCACTGAAAACAGGTGATCTTTGGGAACAGAAAAACAACACTGCCAGTGAAAAAGAGGCGTCTGTGCAACATGAACATGTTGATCCGAGCCCACCGAGATAGACATACCGGTCTCATCGTGGAGCTTTGTGAGAGACCCAGATCCGAGACAAGATGTGACATTTCACTTTTCCGATATCAGGTAGGGCAGAAACTGTCTTATTCTGCAGATCAATACATCGCGCTGAGAGAGAGAGGCCACAGCCCAAATCAATCTGTGAGGTGTCAGGAACATCTAGGCCAACACCTGGCTACAGTGCCCTTTAGCCTCCAGAAAGCCGCGGACTAAAGCACTTGTCAGGAGATGAAGTCAGCTATGAAACAACACAAAGCAAACACGACAGGAGCTTCTCTCATGGAAAAGGGCACTGCTTTTTCCAAAAATATCTCTCTGTAATACATACATTCCCAGGCCCAAATCTGCATAGTATTTTATTCAGGACTCTTGAGAGCCAACTGTACTCCATGAATATACTACGTTTTACCTCGACAGTGGGGAAGGAGGAGGAGGGGGAAGGATTTCTAATGATTGCTGCATGCAGTATAGTTCCTAAAGCATGAGATTCAATAGAACTACTTACAAAAATTAAAACATACAATAATAATTAGCCTGCCTTTTGAAGAAATTGCAGACTGCTATGATTCTCTGGCCTCTTAGCTGACAATTTCTATAGGGTGATGACATATACCATGACTCCTCTCATTCAGGAAACACTATTACAAGTTGGACTTCATTCCTCAACCTCCTTTCTGTTAAAAACAGTCTGGCCCCTGATGGTTGTGGCTATTTTAGTCCCGCACACAAGGACACATGTGAGACCACTCCCCAAGAGTTACACTTTCAGGTCACTTCTCTTTCAAAGACTAGTTTCCAAATGAATGATGGGGGTTTGTTTCCCTCCATCACATAATTTTTTTGTCACAAAAATGATTTATCTGTTGACAGCCAGGTTCACTGGCCTCAGGCAACTGATGGCAGTTGAAACCACTCAATGAAAGCAAAGAACACTATACCAATTTAAAGAAAAGGGAGAAAAAGAGAAGGTATAAATACCCTCTCCCCTAAGCCTGCCTCGTAACTCTTCTGCTTGCTGTTGCAATCCTTGTTTCCTTGTAAATGCCAGAACTTCTGTACTGAGCCCTGGAAGGGACAATGAGCACAAGCAGAGTCAGCTCCTGCAGGTGTTAGGTATGTGTTTACTGTTGGGTTACAACACTAATTACAATTCAGAGAAGGTAGGCCAGACAGCAGTTGGTCTTAAGAACATTTTTCACTTTCACTATTTGTGAAGTCTCTTCTGTCAAAAGTGTATGGTAAAAACACTTGAAAAATACAAGGTTGTGATTCAAAGTGATGGAGAATGGGTCTAGAGCTAAAGTATTAAATTAAACACATCACCAGAGGAAGAAGATGAGATGCACTTGTGCCATTCAGTGGTAGGGACTAAATGAGGACATGCATTAATGGCATCCACTGCCAGGAATTAAATCAATAGTCTGCTGTTGCTAATCTCCCTCTGAGGTCAACAAGAGGGACAGTACTTCAGAAAATAATTTGGAACATCTCAGTCACACTCCTGCCTCTGCAAGTATCTCTCTTCACCTGTTTCACATCAAAGGTGAAGGAGAAAAGAATGGTTACATCAAGTTTTCCTTCAGATTTGACTATACAGATTGCAAATTCCTGAGAACAAGGACTGCCTTACAGTCCACTTTAGGTGGCCTCTTAGGAATTAGCATATTACTACTTCTAAACAAAACACCACTTAAAAAGGAGTCTCGTATTATCTATAAACTAATTGTGAGTTGATTGACACAGAAGACATAGGAGGGATATTAGGCACCACACAGTACTTCCGAAACAAAGTCCACGGCTAAAATTAGAAGAATATATATAGATATATAAACTGTATTATACTTACAACCCAGCTAAGAAGTCATACAAATGTAACCTGTTGCTTATGCGGTGGCTAGTTGTGATCACACATCTTTAATCTCAAAAAGCAGAACAACAGCAGGCCACAGTTTTACATTTTTCCATTTGAACTACAGTCATTGTCACAAGAGCCAATTTCACATTGGGCTGTTTCTTGTTCTTATGGCAATTCATCACGTGAAGACACGAGATCTAAGATACCATGGTAAGGCATAGTCCATGAATAATACAGCACATTACTTTGACCTTTTCAGTTTGCTTTGTAGTATGATTGGCCAAGCATTCCTGTCCTCCCCTGTTAACCACCCCATTAACCTGGGAGGAGAAGGTGGAACGGACAGACAATTAGCCAACAGAATAGTAAAAAGGTTAACACAGGAGTACACAGCCCTGGCTTTCTTGAGCTTTAATGGGTATTAAGATTCTGCAATCTCTTTCCTCTTTCAAAGTCTGCAGGGAAAAAATAAGAAATCACACAAGATGAACTTTATTCTCATTTCAGTTTATAATCATGTAGCTCCTTTCAGATGTCACACTTGGATGATTCTAGTTTATACGTGAATAAACTGAGAATGTTTATTTTTACCCCTCTCAATATGGGGAATATTCAGTTATAGTGGTGAACTTTTTCTTTGAAGCTGGTCATTCTTGAGTAAAGCAAAACTGGAGAAAGTAGAAGTGAAAAAACTCCATACGGTAGTCTTCTTTCAAAAGGTCACACTTGCTACACTAACTACATGAGCTGAGTCATTCCATTTATTTCCTAGTCAAAGAGAGGAAATGGTGGAATTTTTGCATCCTGTGGGCTGTCAGCTGCAGAAAGCTTGATCTCAGTATTCGCCAAGAATACCAGGGCAGGCGGCTCTCACGTGTCTCGGGCACATGTAGGAAATGAGGCACAATAGGGCTCAATGGAGTTTCAGAAGCGCCGGGTGAAAGCAACTTCCCTGTTTCCCTGGGTTTCCACATATCTTTGTAAAATCTTCCTTTTTTTTTTTTTTTGGTAAGATCACACCATCATGAATGACACAGAGTTATATAGGCAAGTATCAGAAAATGTTTTCTGAAGCTTTGTAGTCAAAAGACCTAATTTCAAGACTTCGCATGATCTTTTGCTCATGTTTTCTGAACATTAGTCTGGTGGTTCAGTTATGATGACCTGGGATAGTTTGTTTTTCAGATGCTGCCATATTACTGTCTTTGTACAGATGTGTTACTTGGAGTTGCCATTAGTAGAATGATATGAAATACTTACTTTAGATGAAAGCAGTATGGGCAAAGAGAAAGGGACCTTTCCGCTACTCATCAGAACGCCAGATTTTAAATTTGTGATGGGTATTGACTGCAATAATGCAGAGTCTTTTTTATTCTCTCACAGCAATAATATAATCTCTACTTTGCTTAAGGTGAACAGTGATATTCAGACAGGAAGAACTACTAACAAAGAAAAGATAAAGTTTTAAATTATGACTTCATGGTTTCTCTCTGTAATACACTTTCAGTCC